TATGATTTTTAGTAATTGCTGTTTGTTTGCCCAACGATCAGTCAAAGAGGGATTTTCTAATTGCAACAGCGGAGGCTGGGATGAATAGGTAAAGGGCGGATAAAGTATTTCACTCTTGCTGCACCAAAATATTCTATTTTCCAATCATTCTCATTGTAAATTTAGCTCTGACTATGTCTATGTCATGCTCAACATGATGGGAACTGGATACGGTCAATTGGGACAAGGCGGTGCAAACACTGTGAAATGTAGGCATTCTAGTTATGACAAATTCTAGGCACTCTAGTTATGACCAATTCTAGGCACTCTAGTTATGCATTCTAGTTATTCTAGTTTCTAGTTATGACTAGTTTTCAGCTTGTTATGTTAACTATATACATAATTAGGTTACACATTTTTATTCTTTCGTTACAGTGGCTAACGGATTGACACCCATTTGGTACGATACGGTCAACAATAACAGTGATGGGCTGGATTCGGTAGCTCAACAAGCAGCCAACAATATGCTCGTGGTTGGTAACAAGAGATTACTCTTGTAGTTTACAACTTTCCCTCATCTAAACTAAAGCGTACATTTCATAAGGTCAAGATAGCGAACGAAAGACCCACAAATGTCAAAAAGCACATAAAAACCTGTTTTTCAGAGAATCGCACCAAATATTGTATCCAGGCTGGCCGTATTAGGTCCAACGATTTATCGACCGGTATTAGGTTGGCCGGTATTAAGTTGACCGGTATTAGGTTGGCCGGTATTAGGTTGGCCGGTATTAGGCTGGCCGATAAATCGTTGGACACTTTTTTTCCATAAATAAATGACAAATTCACCATTTGGCCTACAATTGGCTCTAAATAGAAAATATTTATTATTCATTTTTCTATCTTTTTAAAACAGGTCCATTTCCAAACAAATTTGACTTCAAAAACTTATAAAACTCAATAAAAATACAAAGAAGTCAGCGGAACAGATTATCCTGAAAATTTGGCTATATATCTAACTTTTAAAGCTACCTTTATATTTTAGCTTTATCTTTTATATATTGACACCAACATAGGTCATTTTGTGAACCAAAGCGCCTAGATTACGTCTTTGGATTATCGCTTTTTTCAACTACCTGACTTCGTGTCCCCATAAAAACCAGAGACAAAATATTTTCATAAAATTTGAACGTTATTTTGTAGAAAAAAAGTAGACCTTTCTAATGGAAAAAATCGTAGGTCAATCGGTGAATTCTCTATTTCTAAATAGCTTTTCAAATGAATTCAAATGAAATGTCCAAAGAATTATCGGCTAACCCAATACACGAACTGATAACAACAACGAGTAATACATTGTATTCTAAGAAAACTTACAATGAAAACAATGAGGATGATGCATCATACCGTAGCTGGAAAGCCTCTTGACTTTAATCTCTCGAGCAATCGTCCTTGAAACCACCGATTTATTGATCATCAAGCGTCTGGAAATTCCAATTGGTCGAATTCCCTTCCGGTGTAGCTCGATGATCGAATCTCGGTGAACAGATTTCTTGACCATTCCTAAATGTATCATTTTTTGCAATAATAACATTGAAAGATCATCAAATTACAGAAAAAACAAAATGATCCAGTATAAGCACTATATTTGTCGTTAACTATTAAGTCGTTAGCTATTAAGTCGTTAGCTATTAAGTCGTTAACCAACTGAATTAAGCGCGTGCGTGCTGGTTGCCATAATTCTGCCCCACCCTGTAGGTGCAACATCTTGACTCAAGCTTCATTGAGCGACTAGTGTTGTTTTAGGTGTAGCTTGCCGTAGTTCAATCGGATTGACTCCAGTACTTCTAATAGATTTCAAAAAGCTTAATGGATGAAGCACTAGAAATGCTTTCAGATAGATACAACAAATGACGGCAGTGTGAACGGTTCAACCACTGCTCAGCTAGCTGCACAGGTTTGCTTCAAACTTTACTTTTTTTACTCAAATCTAGGTTCGAGCCAACGTTCGCGGCTCCCCATTCTATTGCAACACCACCGATTGCCTCTTGAACGATCAACGCTACTCGGGGGTCAGCGGGAATCCTGTGATTTTTGCATGCGTTTGTTGCCCTGCATGGCCCTGCATGGCCTTCATCTCCCGATTGTCTCTTTTACAGAAATCAATTCAGATTGGCACGTTTGCTCCACAACTCTACGATGCTTTCATGTGGTACGCATATTGTTTAAACGCCTCGATGATGCTTGATCCGATCAATGGAGCAAGGAACATCACAGCCTATAATCAAGTGCAGACTGGTCTTTCGTTTACTGGTTTGTAAAGATTTAATCAAGTAACTAAAGAATTCTAGGATGGACTGGTAAAGTTCAAATGACCCAAAATATCACAAGAGTTCCCACATTTTTTCTTTATGGACTCACCACGGATGGAAAAGTGGCACAATTTGTGAATTTCTCTTGGGATGGCACGTTTGACTACATGGTGTGTTTTAAAGATTGAAAAATTTGGCTCAATCGCAAAACTTACATTAGCAGCTTTACCTAAACCAATTAGCAGAATGGCAACTAGCAAAATTCATACTTTATGCCGTTTTTTCATGAATAGAAAATTCATGCCGTGCTCGGTATGCTCCAGAAAATTCATGCCAAGAAAATTCATGCTCAGTTAGCTTTCACTTTTTCTAAAAAATTAGTAAAGTGTTTTATGCGATTATAGGATAGCTTTTAGCAGCTTGTGGGAAGTTTTTTAATCCTTTTTCGGTTTATTTTATAATCTATCTAACGCTTAAACATAGCACACGCACAAATCAGCAAGTAAATCAAAAAAGCGGAGCGCAACTTCTAGAAAAAATTCACGTATGTCCACTATAGTAATTTTTTAGAAAAAGTGAAAGGTAACTGAGCATGAATTTTCTCGACATGAAGAAATGATTGTGGTACATTTGATACGCGCCGGGTTCCTTTTGCCATTGGCAATCTAACTTTGAGCCCAAATATCTTGGTCTTGGGCTGTTGAATTTAAAGATTCTTGGTATCATTAGATGCGCCAAGTCTTTCTCTGTCGATTGGTACACAACTATTAAAAGAGTACAGTGACACGCCCCTTTTGCCATTGGTAATCTAACTTTGAGTTCCAATACCTTGGTGCTGCGCTATCTAATTTAAATAGTAGTGTACCAATAGATAGAGAAAGACTTGGCGCATCTAATGATGCATCATTAGATGCGGTATCATTAGATACCAAGAATCTTTAAATTGAACAGCCTAACACCAAGATATTTGAGCTCAAAGTTGAATTGCCAATGGTAAAAGGAGTGGGGCGCGTATCAAATGTCCGATAGCATGAAGCATGAACGCCAGCATGAATTTTTTCGACATGAAGGCATAAATTTCATTAGTTGCCTAGCAGGATCAGAACAAGGAAAATTGAATACTGTTCGTTGCTTTCAGACAGCAACTCCAAACTATGCCCTCGCTTCCACCTCAATCTGGGCTATTAGAGGAGGCACACTTCCTTTGGCTGTACCGATTTGCGAGTGAGTTTTTTGGCAAGCAATTCATAGCAGTCAAACCATTCTAGCTTTGATGGAAAGAATTGCCCATTAAACGACTGGCAAAGGAGCGGAATCTACATCACAATTGGTGGAGGAGTGTTACTGCTTTTCTTTACCTTCTTTATCGTCGTAATGTTTTACATTATCCGGTGAGTTCTAGTGCTTAATTTAATCAACTAAAATTATGCTAGAAAAAAAGAGAATAAGGAAGAAATCAATTGAAATAGTTTAGGGAAAAAAGAAGAGAGCGCGCTCGACAGGATGCGGAATGGCAAATCCCATATCTTATGTTGGAAAGATGGGGAAAGGGAAGAGCAAGTCGGGTAGGTTATGGTAATTTTAATTATTTTTATAACTTATTAGACATTTGTGAATGTCAAAACGGAAAAAGATACGGTTCAAGCTATAGCTCTCACGATTATTTACAGCATGAAGAAAAGAGCATGCACTCATTGCAATCATCGAGATCTTCAAATTCTTTCAAATCAAAAGCTTCAATGGGCAGCAAAGCAGAAACAGCTACTATGGCCTATTTTATGATGAAAGGTAAACAAGGTAACGTAAAAATAATCTTACAACAATGTTTTTACTTCAGAAGAACCAGTCTTTGCCTACAAATATCAAGTATTGCCTCGATTGCACCAAGAAGATTACGCAGAGTTTAGACTGGTAAAGTTTCTTTGTAAACTAGCTACTTATAGAAATCTTTTAACTTTCACATTTCAGTTATTGATTTAAAAGTTTAGCTACGCAAACTAGAACATGACAATGTGCATCGTTTCATCGGAATCTGTCACGATCATTCACCGATGATGTCCATCTGGAAATACGCTAGTCGAGGGACTTTAGAGGTTGAAATCTTGAAATGCTAAAGCTGACAAATAACAAGAAAAATCTAGGAAGTCATTTTGAAAGGAACAATCAATTTGGATACTTTCATAGCAATGGCGTTGATGAAAGACTTGGCAGAGGGACTCCACTTCATTCATCGATCTTTCTTGGGTGTTCATGGAAACTTATGGTAGCTGATTTGTAAAATATTAACTGATACAGTATCTATTTATGGCTGCTTCTCTCTAGTATCTCTTTCTTCTTTCTTGTCTTTCCTATTTCTTCTTGGGCAAAGAAGGCGCCGATAGCTCCGTAGTGGAGCCTCTGCGTGGTGAGCTGAAGGTCGAGGGTTCAATTCCCCTTCATTCCAAATTCTTTGCCATTCATTTCTTTATTTATTTACCTTTATGTTGAATTAAAATTCTTGTGACAATTACAGCTCAAGCACTTGTTGGATCGATGAACGCTGGCAACTGAAAGTCAGCGGGTTTGGCTGTGCCAGTTTCCGCAGAGGGGAAAAACTTGAAAGGAAACGTGAGTTTACAATAAAGTTAAAAGCTTGATTTAAAATGGCTTAAAATGGTTTAAACCTTTTCTTTCATTTCTTTAGGCCAACTTTGGCTAGCTCCCGAACTCCTTCGAATGCCAATGATTGAGGGAACAAAAGAAGCGGATATCTACGCTTTTGCTATCATTTGCACAGAGATTGTCACTCGGAAAGAAGTCTATGATTTGTCGAATCGAGATGAGAAAACGGAAGGTTTGAAATAATGTTAAAATTTTTGAGACAATGAAATTTAGAGCTCTTGTACATGATCAAGCGAGGCGCTCAGGTGCCAGTGCGGCCAGCTTTGAATGTACACGTGGATATGGATCTGAACCCAGCTGTTGTAAGCATTTTATCAGTTATTACATGATTTTTCTATTAGGTTGCCAACTAAGTCTTGGTAACCTTTTTAAATCCCTGTCTAAGCTGATCAAATCATCAATTGACTTACGGTTTGCTGGATTTGAAAACCCGATGAAAATAACGTTGTAATATTCCTAAAAGACTTAGTTGCCAACCTAATAATAGTAAGCTGATGTCAAAATATTCTTAGCATACAAAATTTCAGCTTCACATGATCCGAGACTCCTGGGCTGAACAACCAATGGATCGTCCCAATATCACAACGATCAAACGAATTCTCAAATCAATGGTCAGTCTGACTGCCATTTGCTCCAAAACTTTCTCAGAACTAAATTCAGAACTAAATCTTACCTTACTCTAACAGTTTTTTAATAATTTAGTCTGGAGATGGACAGCAAAACTTGATGGACCACGTCTTTAGCCTAATGGAATCCTATGCGGAGACGTTAGAAAAGGAGGTAACTGAGGAATTGATCTGTAAATTACGATTAGTAAAATTTAGGTACAAGATCGAATGGTTGAGTTGGTTGAAGAGAAGAAGAAAGGAGACATGCTTCTGCAGAGAATGCTGCCAAAGTAAGGATTGATTTGGATGTTGACTTTCACTCTAAATTTTCATTGTGGGACATTTGATACGCGTCCCCGCCCACGTTGCCATTGGCAATCTAACTTTGAGCTCAAATTTCTGGATGTCGAATTCCAATTTAAATAGTTTTTATACCAATTGACAGAGAAAGACTTGGCGCATCTAATAATACCAAGAATATTTAAATTGGACATCCCAACACGAAGATATTTGAGCTCAAAGTTACTGGCAAAAGGGGCGGGGCGTGAAAGGCCTTTTATACGCGCCGCCCTCTCTGCCATTGGCAATCTAACTTTGAGCTCCCATATTTTGGTGTTGGGTGGTCCAATTTTAATAGTTTTTATACCAATCGACAGAAAAAGACTTGGCCAATCTAAGGATATTCAAAATATTTAAATCGAATAGCCCAACATCAAGATATTTCCCCTCAAAGTTAGGTTGCCAATGGCAAAAGGGGCGGGACGCCTATCAAATGTCTGATAACCCTAAATTTTAGACAAGTTGCTGAAAAGTTGAAACTCGGTCAATCGGTTGAGCCCGAGTCATTTGAGAGTGTGACGATTTTCTTCTCGGATGTGGTACAGTTCACTAATCTTGCCGCCAGATGCTCACCACTTCAGGTAAAACTCAATCTACGAAATCTAGTTTCTGAATATGACTTGTAAATGGATTCTACGTTTAATCTGATGATTAAAGTGGGTTCCTCTTGATCAAACAAATTAATTGGTTAAAATTTGCTAAAATTTTAACCAATTAATTAGAAATTAGCTAAAAAAAACGTTGGTGGGGGCGGGACAAATGCCACCTTTTTTTTTGCTGGAACAGGTCTTAGGAAAGGTCATAGAGCTTCGAAAATGTTTCCATACTAGGGAATCGTATGCGTAGATTCCGAATTTCGACAAATCAAAGCAAATCAGACCTCGCTGACACGTTAAATTTGAGCTAAAAGGCAAAAACTACGCAACAACTTAACGCTTTTTCGCAGTTTTTGCCTTTTAGCCCAAATTTGACGTGTCAGCGAGGTCTGATTTGTCGAAATTCGGAATCTACGCATACGATTCCCTTTCATGAAAACATTTTTGAAGCTCTACGACCTTCCCTAAGACCCTTTCCAGCAAAAAAAAGGTGCGCAAATGTCCAGGTGCGCAAAAAAAAGGTCGCATTTGTCCCACCCCCACTTTGGTTAACGGTTGGTTAAAAGATATTCGGTCGATTGACTAAATATCTTAAATTCACTGACTTTTTTTCCATCGCGGAGTCTTTTTCATTCATTTTTGCAAAGGCACAAAGTAAAAGTTACATAATTTGCATGTTCTATTTGCATTTATCTATTGATTAACCAGACATTTGCCGATCAATAATCTTTTAACCAAATTATACAGAAATTTATCCAAATTTAACTCACTTATTTCCAGATCGTGGGCCTTTTGAACGATCTCTACACCACCTTTGACACGATTATTGAACAGCATCAAGTTTACAAGGTTCATAAACAATGATAATCAAAATCATTAAATTTTTCTAGGTGGAAACAATCGGTGATGGCTATCTATGTGTCTCTGGTTTGCCCTATAGAAACGGAATCCAACACGTCAAAGAAATCGCCGAGATGTCACTGGGATTTTTGGAAACTGTCAGGGTAAAAGATTTTTGAATAAAAGCTGCTCACGATAAATTTTGCATGTAATTTTAATTCTCAAGAACATTTATTAACAAGCTTTCACCATATTTCTGAAATTCAAGCTCTTCCGTATCCCGCATCTCCCCACAGAGTCAGTTAACCTCCGAATCGGGATCCATTCGGGCTCTTGTGTAGCTGGTGTTGTCGGATTAGCCATGCCACGGTGAGTTTATTAATTTCGAAAATGTTATTGAAATCTGTTTAGTTATTGTCTCTTTGGTGACACGGTGAATACGGCTTCTAGAATGGAAAGCAATGGAAAACGTAAATCCCTTGAAATTTTAGAATGACCAGAAATTTTTTTTCATTCCTTTTCTCAGTTCCATTGAACCAATTCATCAATAAAAGGTGTTTATTTTTCAATTTCCCATCTTTTTAAGCCAATTTTGGTTCACTTTCAAGCAAATTCGAAAGTGAAAAGCGTGTTTTTCGCAAAAACTTTTCTACTAAGCCTTTCTAATGAAAAAAAAACCGTAGCCCAATTGATGCATTTGTTGGTTTTAAACGAAAGGACGAAAAGAACCGAAAAGACTTTTTGGACAGCCTATGATTACATCAATTTCAGCTGGAAAGATTCACATGTCGGTTGATGCAATGGTGTTGTTGAAACGAATTGGTGGTTATGATATGGAATCGAGGGGAGAAGTGATCATCAAGGTAAAGGAAATCCTGAAACCCAGTCAGAAACTAAAAGACTTTTGCCTTAAAATCGAATATCATGATCGCTTCAACTTCGACAGAAACTTGACTCCAGCTCCAACTCCGACACTCAGATAAACAACTTTTAGGGCAAAGGTGTGATGGAAACATTTTGGTTAAATGGTCGAGGCTATTCACGAGTCAGCCAACACATTGAAAGCGTCACAGCAAGAATTGATGATGTCAAGACGAAAAGTCAAAATCGTTTTGTCCCCAGAGTCAATCAGACTCCACCAGTTGATCGTGTTGAACAAGTTCCACAATCAAGTAGTGACAGTTTGGATTTTCATGATTAACTACGTTCTTTCTTTACTGAATGTGATTGCTATGAAATAATGCATTTAATTAAGTTTGAAAATTGAATTTTTTCCCAAATGCTTGCCGTAAACGCTTATTGCCGATCATTTTTTAGTTTTTAACTTAGTAAACTATGGCTACTGCTTTTTTAAACGAGATCCGGTTAGAAGAAAGATTTTTAAACTAAATAAATCAGATTTTTAGCTGCAAAGTGTTTTTGCATGATCTGTTTAAGCGATCAATGTTGTTTAACTCATACTCTAAAACGAAGCAATCTTTTAACAATGATGACACAAGCTAATTTCTTTATGATTTGCCGTAAACGTTTATTGTCAATCGATCTTCTTTGTTGTAAATTTCCAGTATCGATACTTGCAAAGGAAATATTCTTTGTCGCCTTTTCTGTAGGATTACCAGGCAGAACCTTTACGCTTCCACGAAAGTAAAATATTAACGCTCAACAATCTTTTTGGTAGTTTGGGCTGAAGTTTTCGAACCTGAGCTCCTGAGTTGTCACCAGGAGAACTGTCAGCGAGGCCAACGAGGTGAAATTCATGAATTTTTCATTGGTCCACATCCATCTGCCATATTTTCGCTTAAAAAAATGGTTTTAGCAAAACTAAAGATGTTCACGGTGCATTTTTGAACTAATTTGTTATGCACAATTTTTAAAAAATGTCAACACGATATTAACGAGTTTACAAACTAGCCCAACTTACGACCCTTCGGCAACCACCACTACCAGGGCATACACCAGGAAATCTTCCCATTCCACTCACGAAGCACTGAATTTCTTGGTACTCCAGTCTTGAAATATTGTTCTCAATAAAATTGGTATCGCATCGCATTGTTCTCTCAGTTTGGCTGCTGTTCAAGCAACACGAGTAACACATAACAGAATGTACAGGGTGCGCCATAATTGTCGCAACAAGGAATCACGCGCGGTAACAAGGTTCTTCTAAAAGGATGAACTCTTGCTCTGGGCTCGTAAACATTTATTATTTCGAAAATTTGATACAGAACATCTAAAATCGTTGTGATTTCAAATTCTGTTTGTATTTCTCGAAAATTATTATTTAAAGGCCAGCAAAAAATCAAAAATGTGCAACCTTTGCAAAATAATGCAAACAAAGGGTCATTATATTTTTGACTGGATTGGGTCAACAATGGGTCATTGACATTGATTATCATTAGGGTGGTGAGAATGAAACCAGCGCTCACATATCTTTCCAAGATTAAAAGCTTCAACCAATACTTGGTCTAGACTGTTCGAAAGTCCTGAATAACCTCTACAAAATAGTGCAAAGGATTTTGAATTGAATTGATTATTGAAGACTTGGGTGACTTTTAAGTTGAGGGGTCACAAATGATCATTTTCTGGAAAATGTGTTTCTGGTAATAGCCATGCCCGGGTTTTCCGTGAGGAAATACCGCTAACTAAAGTTATATGAAAATTACATAAAAGAACTCTTTTTGTTTGTTCGTCTTCTAAAGCTTATGATTTTCGAAAAAGCTTGATTTTGGACAATTTTAGGCCAACATCATCTCTGTTACTTAAGCCCGTTTACTCGTTTGGTTTCCTGAGTTTCTTGCTGCCCCTACGGACCGAAATCCTTGGGATGAATCCAAAAATTCACAGCGGCTCCCTTCAGCACCCTTTTACAGGCACTTGGGATCCCATTCCGACCGACGGAGAACCCGCCATAGTGGTCAAAATGAGCCGGAACTGGGTTGACCAGTTCTACAACCGAAGTTAATTTTGGGAAGCGGTGACCACATGGGGCAGACAACGGATTGGTTACCGGATGACCCAGAATGGACGCTTCCGATTTGAAAAGTGAAAAGGAACTATATGAGCAGGCGTGCTATGCCAGATCGAGCGTGATTGTGCTCACACACAGGAAACACACCGCGATCTTCTTTTTTGCATTTTAAAGTTCAAAAACTTCAAATTTTTGAACAGAAAAATTGTACCCAGGGTTTTCGGGGTTGAGGAATCGATTCACAGCGTTAGTTTTGATGTTTTTCTTGTCCGAAATCAAGGATTTCATTACATTTCCTATTGAAGGATGGTTCTAACTTTTCAAGCAATATCCCATCTCTTCTTTGTAGCTTATGTTTTCCAATTTAAACTTTTCAAACACCTCTTGAAAACAAAACTAAACAACAGCTTTTCCAAGAGCTTTTTTCGTGAATCGAATTTCTCAAATCTTACATCTTATATTAGGTTGAACACTCTCGGTAACAGTTCTTCTTTCCACTTTTTAGAAACAACCAATGTACTAATTAAATTGGGGTTTTCTTTATTCAAAAGTCTTTTCGGCTCTCTAAAAGTAGTTTGCCAATTGAAAAAAGCTTCGTTTTTGGGGTTTTTTTAGAGGTCAAGAAGTTGAGGAAATGAAAATGAAGGAAGCTAGATAGTGCGATTGGACCACTTTCTTCCACAGAAACCTATTTCGATGTTTATAAATAAAAGATAGAGCATAAAAAGTTAGGTGAGTATTCAAATTTTCAGACTAATCTGTTCAGCCGTTTTCCCTGTATGTCATTTTTAAGGATTTCTGAAAAGATGCGGATTCCGCGCAAATGCGCTTCAAGGTGGGCCAAGTTTTGTTTAAAAAGGATAGGAAACTAGAAAATAAAGAACTTTTTTTCAAAGGGATTGTGAGTGAGTCAGTGTATTGTCTACTTTTCAAAGAAAATATGCTTTGCTATCACCAAGACAGTGTTCAACCTAATAGCTTTAAAGGGGGATGATCTGTAGGGCTGGATCTCCTGATAAAAAAAAAAATAAAAGTCTGATAGAATTTTAAATTAAATGTAGAAGCCAGTTAGCATGATAGATTTAAACTTCCCCCATCTGTGACACCCAGTTTGAAGTTAGATTTTTATGAAAGGTTTTCACAAAAAAGTTACAGAGTCCAAAACATTGGAAGCGCCTATTAAAATTTGACTTGGCTCTATTTCTTTACTATCATAAAAAGCCAACAATCTCAACGCGTTAATGCAAATATCCAAGTCTATTTAAGTGTTTTTTAAAAGTTTAGAGTGACAAGAAGCAGTTAGTAAAGAAATACAGCCAAATCTAATTTTTACAGGCTTATCCAATGTTTTGGGCTCTGTAACTTTTTTATGAAAACTTTTTATAAAAATCTAACTTTAAATTCGGATTTTTCAGATAGTTTTACCTACTGGGCAACTTTTCGGGGCCAGGATTCATTTTCTTAATATCAATTTCAGACCTCCAAAGTTGGCCAATTTGCACTGAAAATTGGGGTGGGTGGAAAACTTTTGTCCGCTACAATAGCTATCGAACTTTCCTGAAATCACTGTTGGAAGCGTGGGAAGAGCTCGATCCAGCCTATTTGGTAGATCCAGCCCACCGTTGACGCCTTCTCGAAACGCCTGCAAGCCTGCTCAAATCCTAATGGTGGCCGATTCAAATTTGATAGTTGATTTATAATTGTTAATGTACAATAAATGTAATTCAGTTAAAAATGAGCCTTTTTTTGTTCGTGTCTACCTTAGAATCAGAACTTTATCTTGTTGCGACAATTATGGCGCACCCTGTATATCGTGCTGCTTTTTATCGGTTCTTTTCGTCTTTATGTGTATGAATTCATGTATATTAATCTTAAATCTTGCACACTTTATTTCATGTCTTGAATAAAGTATCTATCTATTTTGTTTGACTGAAGAAACAATGAAGAATTCAAACAGGGTTTCACTTGAGTTTTCAGTTGTTTTGTTGTTGACTTTGGATATATTTATTTGCGAGAAATGATTTGAGGCTTCATTTTAGGGGCATTCATCAAAGCAGGCGCCACACTGAAACATTATTTTTTCAGTTAACTAAATTTCACTTACTTTGGCAATTTTACAAAGGGGTGCATCGATTGGAAGTGTGCAACAAGTCTGAAATGTTTTTGGTAAGCTAAAACTTTGAAAACTTTATCCTTTTGCCTTCAATGAATGATTGGTTTTTTTAAATAAGCAAATTTCTGCCGATGCATGAACTGGCCAGGATTCTGGCAACAATAGAGTTTTTATATGCAAATTTTTCATGCTAAGTGACTTTTGAAAGCTTTAGCCACGTTATAGCTATTGTTAATTTAAAAAAGACAAACTTGTCCATCAGAACATTGATCATCGGTGATACAAGCGTGCGTGGGAGCACCAGTTTGAGCACTCTAAACAGAATAACAAATAATTGACTCACTTTAGCATAAAACAAACTCACCGAGAATCCAAAAAGAACCATTGAGAAGAAGAAAACGAAGAAAAGACCAAAACGCATGTTTTTAATTGATTTCGGTGTATGCTTACCGCTGATTTAACTCAAATTCACTTTGCTTTTATACCCAATGAAAGCTTTTGAAATGCACTTTTATCAACATTCTTTAGAAAGCGAAAAGCTCATGCTAAACAGAAAATATTTTTTTAATATTCTAGCTTTTAAAATACGTAAAAAAATATGAAAAAAACACAGGATGATGACAAAATATTTTCAAATTTATTCATTAAATCTTTAAAAGTATTTTTGAGAGGATATTTTATTGTTTTTGTCTTTTGTTCCCATTCAACTTCCCAATCCATTCAAACTCATTCATAATCCGAAAAATTTTTTCTATTAGTATAAAGATTTCCTTTTCAATATACATCTGAATGTGTGCACTTTAAAATGAAATTGGATATAAAATGAGAGTGATTTTTTTGAGGTAACCATTCCGTAAAGCAACAAAAAATGCGTTTTGGACTTTTCTTCGTCCTTTTCTTCACAATTGCCTTTGGATTATCTGTAAAATTGTTTTAAACAATATTTAGAAAACAAATCTCTGTATTATTCAATTTCAGACTGCTCTTTCAGCCAATTTCAGACTTTTTAATTTTCAGGACTATTCTTAAACTAACTGAATCATTGTTTAGATTCATTGTTGGATCTGGAGCGACCGGATGAGAGTTACTCAAGAACCTTGCAATGATGGATGTCGCTTTTGGAAAAAATCGTTGGTATTAGGCTGTCCAGAAAGTCTTTTTGTTTCTTTTCACTGAAAAATCGCAAAGTTTGTAGAACTTTAACATTTAGATAATGTATTTATAGGTTATTAAGCTGTCCAGAAAGTCTTTTCGTTCCAGAAAGTCTTTTCGTTCTCTGTTCCTTTTCGTTCAAAATAACAAATTCACCAATTAATCTATGATTTGATCTAAATAAAGGTGGACTTCATTGTGTACTAAAAGCTCGCGATAATGTGGAAGCGAGAAGATATGTGGATCAACAATGTGTCTTCTATGGACTCCCGCCTCCCGCTATTGGAATCTGGAACTCTTGGAACAAAGGGGGAATGTGCAAGTGGTCTATCCTCATCTCACCGAGTCTTACTCGTAAGTGTAACAATTGAAAAATTAGCAGTGAATATAAAATGTGTTGTTTTTTAGAATGACTGGAAAATCCCCCATCGACAATCGATCATCAAATTGCACAAGCGAGGAGCCCCGGCGCCGGAGATTCATAAGCGTCTTAAAGTCGGCAGAAGTGTCATTTTCCGCACTATTCAACGCCACGAAGCTACAGGAACAACTGCTGATGCAGCAAGAAGCGGTAGACGCCCAAATGCCGTTACAAAGACAAACCTCAAGCCGTGAGGGGCATCAAGTGAGGGACCGATTACAGAAGAAGCCAAACCAGTCGGCAAGCAAAATGGCAAAGAAGATGGCGATTTCAAGCACCTCATTGCGTCGGATCCTCGTCGGAAAATAAGCTCAAACTTACTCCTTACAAGAAAAACAAGGCTAAATTTCTTTGGAGTGCCCCAAAAAAACAAGAGGAAATTGAGAGCAGATCAATTATTGATTTAGCCTTGTTTTGATATTATTCAATGGAATCGAACATCACAATATCTTGTTTGAGATGAAAAGATATTTTCCAGCGTGGTCGGTTCTAGAAGCCAAAGCTTATTCAAAGCCCTACAAAAACACCGAAACTTTGAAGAAATCACTGTTGAAAGGGTGGGAAGAGCTCTATCCAGCCTATTTGATCGCCACCGTTGACGCCTTCCCGAAACGCCTGCGAGTCTGCTCAAATGCTTAATCAAAAATTAATCAAAGCAAAGTCGAAATTCTAGTGGTGGAAGGGGCAAAACTACTGCGGAAACTGTCGGCAAACTACTGCGGAAAATGGGGTGAGCCTTGCAGGTGGGCTTTTTTGTGAGGAAAAGTACCAAAAAAGCTTTGATAATAAATGAAAAAAGCAAACAAAACGCGAAAAAAAACAGTTGAGTTCAATGTTTTGGTTTTTGGTGCTCGAAAGGCTGAACGGCCAAAATTGAATCTGGTTCAGGTCGTGATGTTAAAGTTCATTTTGTGGTTTCAATAGAGAATCGATTCCTTTTTTCACGAATTGAACCGAGATCAAGCGCCGAACAATAAAGAGATTTCAAAATCCAGATATTAGCAAAATTTTCCAATTTTGCATAGCTGAATGAAAGGATTCGCGAGGGCGTGAACTTGAACCTAAAGCTGTTGACAAAGGATCAAAAACTATAGGGGAACGGGGTGAAAAGAACGAACTGAACTCCTCAATAACCCCCAATATAAAAGCAGTAGTTAAAGCTGTGAAAAGCACATTCATTGGCCACATCCAGCGACAACAATGAGATCCGTTCTCGGACTGCTTCTCTGTGTTTCAGGTACATTTTTGGTTTTGAATAATTTTACTCAATTAGCCGCAAAGTTTAGTCAATTAGATTTAAATATTTTATATTCTATATCCCAGCATATCTAAATTAACGTTAAAACTTTAAAATTTCACCTTTTTAGCCGCCTCAGCTCAAGCCGCCATGGCATTTGCTGCAGCCGACCAAACAACCATTGTCAATGTACGTAGTTTTCCTTTAAAATTGAAATTTTTTATATTCTAACGGCTTTTATATCTATATTTTATATTTTATATTTAAAATTTTTATAAAAACCTTCTGAAATCAACAGCTTTTTAGACAATGAACAGTCTGCGGTCACGGATGGCGAAAGGAACGGAGAAATGGGTTGGGAAAGGAAGAAACTATCCACAATCGATTCGAACTTATCAATTGGTTGGTGGATTAGCAAAATTTAAATCAAATTAAATATTGTTTATTCAAATTAACATCAAATTCTTTCTAAATTTCAGTCATGGGCAGCTGGATTGGCCACCGCTTCTGTGGCTCGTCTCAATTTGTTGGATCCTAGTCAACCGTGGGTAAAAAACCACATAGCTATAGCAATTTAACTGTGAAATTTGTTAACATTATTCATTTCAGATTGAGTGCCCAAAGTGATGTGTTGAAGGCCTCCGATGTACCGTTTCATCAAGGCGAAACCCATTACGGTATCTATAGCACCAGCTCAAACGCGAAGACGACCGCTCAAATGTGTGAGGGATAGTTTACTCCGTCCTTAAACAAACCTTTCTATTAAACTCTTATTTTCTTACCTAAAAATGCCACTAATTCAAACCCATTTCCAGTTGGTACCGCGTGGAATACCGCCTGGTACAATTTCATCAAGAAATCCGGTCTCCCTGGCCCGGGTCTCGTTTACAATTCAACTGGCGTGCACCCCGACAAGAATAAAAACTTTGCTTATCAGGTGATCAAAGTTTCCAAAGCTTTTCTTAACCAAAACTTTAGAAAAAGTATTTTTCCAGATTGCCGCCGGCCAGACTCGGACTATCGGTTGTGCGTATCGCAATTTCACAACTGGAGCCGCTGCTGGGACATTCGCTGTGCTTTGTCGTTACAATGCTAGGTTTGTTTTGATAGAACTGAAAAAGTTTTCGTTCAGGCTACAGAGTTAACACGGAAATTTGGCCTCAAGTATATTAGATTACAAGAGTTTTCTGGCAAGCTAAATGAACCAACAGAGTACTTGAAAAACCGACACTATGGATTGAAGTTTATAGAACGACGTAATTTCCTTTCACTTTAGAGGTCTCTTCGACGGTAACCCTATTTACCCGGAAGGTGTCACTTGTAGTGGATGTGCCAAAGGGAATCCACCAGCTACAGTATGTGTCACTGCCACTGGTCTTTGTGCCTAAATTCTTAAAGTTAAATATTAGGTTGATGCAAAAGTCTTTTTCATTTTTTTCGTACTTCTGTTAAAAAGTAACAAATTCACCAATTAATCTATAGTTTGCTCTATAAAAAAAGTGTTTTTTTGTTCAATTTGCATCTTTTTAAATCAATTTCGGTTGACTTTCAAGCAAATTCGAGAGTGAAAAACGCCTTTTTCGTAAAAATCTATAAAAAACTCTACGGAAAAATTGGCTGAATGAATTTCTCTGAAATTTTGGCGAAATATCAAACGTTTTTTTTCTCTATCTTTTATCTATTGACACGAAGATAGGTTTTCTTTAGCTAAGGTGTCTAAACCGCATCATCGAGTTAGCCCTTTTTGACTACCCGACTTCATACTCTCAAGAAAATCCAGGCATAAAATATTTTTAAACCCGTTTTAATGTTATTTTGCAGAAAAATAATTGGTTTTTCTAATGAAATCAACCGTAGTTTAATTGGTGCATTTGTTGGCTTGAAACGGCAGACGAAAAAAATAAAAAAGACTTTTGCATCAACCTAATAGTTATGATTTCATTGATAAACTTTTGATTTTCGTGTCAATGTTGATGCTTGCTTTACGAAAAAGAAAACAAAATCCACAAAAAATCAAGTGTGATTAACGAGATTCAGTTCTGTGTAAGCGATCAGTTTTGAGAGTAAAAGGAATTTCTGCAAAAACTATCAAGAAATTTGATTTCTGGGAAAAGATTAAAGCAAAACTCATTGAATTTCAGTAATTGCGAGAGAATTCGCTTCTAGAAAGTTGAATTTTCGGCTGCGTTCTCTAGTAGATTGAAAAATAAATTGAAAATAACATTAAATATGAAAGTACTAGATGAAAAAGATTGAAAACAGTATGCGCTTTACTTTAAAACGGTCGTTTACTCGAACTTTTCCGTTTACTCGTTTTCGGTATTTAGCGAAAGAGAGGCGAAAGACGTCTCGTGTCGAAAAGCTTCTAATGATCCAGGCGATTAGGATAAAGGCATCTAACTCTTTTTCTCACTGATGATCTGAATGTCTTCCATGATTCTTATCAGCTCAATTATATTCCCGTTTGCCAATTTGATCATGAACACTTTCTTTGGCTTCAATTTCGACTACACGACGATCTCTATGGGAAAGCTATTCTTGAATTTTCTCTTCTATTTCATAACCAGTTTCATTTCAACAATTTCTATGTAGGTTTCAAATCCAGTGTGCTTTCTATTCTTTTTCTAAAAAACAAAAAAAGGGGGCGGATACAGAAATCACTATAGCAAATAGCATCAGTAAAGGATAAAGAGGAATAAAAGTTGATCTATCATATTTCAAAATTTTAATTTTTCTTTATAATAAACTCTTTTTTAAAAATTTTAAGCTTATAAATTTATTACAATTTTTTAGTGTATAGTTTCCTCCTTTTCAATAAATTTTATACAAGATTTTGCATGTGTAAATAACAGTACTTTTGTTTAAAATCCTTAATGACAAAGTTTTCTCATCAAGTCAACGAACTAATGTTTATATTGATTGAAATCCGGTCTCAATGGCTCATCTGGGTGATACTCTTTGAAACTGGGATGGCCATTCTCTGGATGATATTGATCAAAGTTCGGTCGAGCCTCGGCAAGCTTCTCTGGATGATATTGATCAAAGTTCGGTCGAGCCTCGGCAAGCTTCTCTGGATGATATTGATCAAAGTTCGGTCGGGCCTCGGCAAGCTTCTCTGGATGATATTGATCAAAGTTCGGTCGGGCCTCGGCAAGCTTCTCTGGATGATATTGATCAAAGTTCGGTCGGGCCTCGGCAAGCTTCTCTGGATGATATTGATCAAAGTTCGGTCGAGCCTCGGCAAGCTTCTCTGGATGATATTGATCAAAGTTCGGTCGGGCCTCGGCAAGCTTCTCTGGATGATATTGATCAAAGTTCGGTCGGGCCTCGGCAAGCTTCTCTGGATGATATTGATCAAAGTTCGGTCGGGCCTCGGCAAGCTTCTCTGGATGATAATCACCGTATTTAGGACGAGCCCCATTGAGATCTTTTGGGTGATACTCATTGAATTCGGGGCGAGCACCGACCATCTCGTCTGCTAAATTGAGGGCATAGTTAGAGTAAAGATGGGCTAGTTTTGATTTTTAGATAAAAAAGAAACATTTTTCACAAAACCTTACCCGCTACAGCCAAGGCCAAGAGAAGAACGGTGAATAGAACAGGAAAAGACTTCATTTTGTGAAATGTCAGTTGTTCTTCTTGTTCTTCAGCTTTTATACTGCACAAGTGCTCAAAAACAAGTAGCTTTATCAGTTGTTTTCCCCATCTTTTGATTAATGTAATCTATTTGAAACCGTAAAAATAGAAAAAAACGTAAATAACATTGATAAGAGTTTTTTTGGAAGCCGGGAGTGTCGAAAATTGTTTATATAGATCTTAAAAATTTAGCTAGACATTGTGAGAAACAAGTGAATTCAAGTTTCAATATATGATGTAAGCAATCAAGAAAAACCTGTGCATTTTTAGCTTGAGTGCATTAAAATGTAAAGGGCTTTTAGATGGCTTTTAAATTGAACCAAGGACCAGCTTCATCAACTTCTTTTGGCTTATATTTATTGAAGCAGGAGCATGCGTTAAAAACCTTTTTGAGCAGTCATATCTCCTTTTGGATATCCGTTGAACCAAGGGCGAGCTCATCTTGTAGTCACCAACAACTTCCTGTAGTCATTAAACCATGGACGAGCTTCATCACCTTCATCAACTTCTTTTCGCTGAACAACGCATGGCTTTGGACAATTCTTTGATTGATAATCGTTGAACCAAGGACAACCAAGAATCTTTTTGAGCAGCCATATTATCTTTTGACTGATAGTCGAAGCGTGTACGAAACATCGCCATTCTTTCAGCTAGATCTGGAATTTTATAGTTGAGAGAAATGAAAAATCACTTTGGATCAGCTTTAAAAAGAGCTTTTTTTTCATTTTAGATTAATTTTTTAAAAGCCTTATCAATAGTGGGTAAAATTAGATGATCCGTTAAGGGTGTCATTTTTCAGTTAAAAGCTAAGCTTTCATCAAACTTTTGGGTCTAACTTCTTTTCTCAAGCTCTTTGAGTAATAGTTAAGTTTAATTTCATACAACAAAATCCTAATTTTTGAGCTTTTGAAACAGAAACAGACGTTATTGATAAGGCTTTGAACCGCTGTTTACATTAAAAGCAAAAATGATGGTTTATAATAATCTCACTGTTGAACTTTTAACCAAAAAAAACGGAAGTGTTTATGTGAAAAGAATTAGATAAGAAATAGAGAAAACAAGTACTAGTTTTTGTCTCAAATGGATTGAGCTGATAAGATTTGTTCATTACAATTAGCTTTTTAAAATGACTACCAAGAATTGGATTGTTGCTCTGCTTTGGGTACAGGTAGCTTCTCAACAGTTGAACCCTCAATGTGCCGATATTCTGAAATTAGCTGGAGCTAGCGAGAAATTCGGGAACTCTGTTGGTCATGCGATTCACTCGATCAATGTGAGAGCATTGAGGAGATTCGATCCATTGGTGACTGAAAAGAACCGAGTACCGACGATGAACATGGACTTGAGCTCTGAACAGGTTCTCCTCTCCTATGCTCCTGATACTCGTGGCTTCGACAAGGGAGCTTTTCATTCGACTGGAATGAAAGTTTTGGATGAGGTGCGTTTGATTAATACTGTTAACAACAAGCAATTCATGCATGAATTCTAAATAAGCCATTTACACTACAAAGTAGACTTGAAAACTCTTGGTATAAACGTCAATAAATGACTTCAAAATTCTTTTGAAAAATGTCTCTGAAGGAGTCAGAGTCAGACGGAAAAACGTGTTTTCCCGTCTGACACCTATTGACGCTCAGACCGAAATTTCTAGGTCTACTAGCTAGGAGATCTTGTGGCTAATCAGCTGGTGTAATCAACTGGTGGAAAACTAATACTTACTTGACAACAAACAACACTTTAAACTATAAGCGACACGTCTACAAGATCAAACACATAATCCAATCAATTTATAGCTAAAATTTCTACGTTTATGTTGTTCTTAACAATAGCTACTGACAGGAAAGGGCTTGCTTTTAAAATTTAACGGTAATTTTAAAAACGTACATTTGTACATTCATAACTGCTCAATTCATAGCATGTTCTCAGCTAAAAATTTTAAAAATACAGTTTGCTGTCTGTTGAGTTTATCATTTCAGCTTATCAGTCAATCAGTTTACGCTCGCTACTCTAACCATAATGAGAAGTAGTACTTAGCCAGTAATAACAAAATACTTGAATTTCCAAATCCAGGTACTCTCCCAAATGGACAACCAAATGTATGGAATGAAATACTTCACACCACTCGAGAAGATCGTTCACGCTTTTCACATGGAAGAAATGTGGACAATGATTCATCATGAATACATGAGACTTCAATCAAATCCCCCATCGAAAGAAGTTTGTGAATGTGCGATGGATGTTGAAGGGAATGGAGTTCTCTCAATGCTTCGATTTGTTGCATTCACTTTTCGAGAACCAGAAGCTGTCCTGCGATTGGATAAGAAGAGAAATCGAGTGAAAAGAGGTGCTCATCATGAGAATATGGAAGAGAAGTGAGTTGAAAGAAACAACGAGATATACTATGGAAATTTTATGCATTAGCTTTGACCCAGTAGCTCTAGCTGTGTCATAAATCTTTTTCTGGCTTCCTCAAAAGTCAAACGTATCTTTAGCTCTTTGAAGCAATTTTTGACAAAGTTTTTTTACTCCATTAGCTTTCATTTTCCAAATTTTATTCATTTGTGAAAAGAACTTTTGACTAAAAAGGTTTTAAAGGCTCAAATTTTGTTAACAACTGACTAACTGGTTCAAAGCTTGTTAAACCACTGAAAAGTTTTCTAATTAGAAGGCTTAAGCTAAAAACATTCAATTTTTAGTGCATTAGCTCAAAAATCCCCGAAATCATCCGGAACAATGCCCCCATTGATGAACTCAAAAGCATGGGCTGAATGGGTGACTCTGTTGTCGCCAATGGAAATGAGCGAGCACTTTGACACGGCCATTTTCTTATTCTGTGCTCTCAATTGACTCTTTTAGCAATGATTCTGTGTTGTTTAACTTTCATTGAAACATTTTTTTGTACGGAATTCTGGTAGCGCTCGAGGTTTTCATAAACTGAGATTTCATTTCAGAAACACCTCAGACTGGCATTTTACACAGAAGTTGAAAAATATTTATGTCTATAATCAGAAAGAATTAGGCTCTTTCTCGGCTACTGAAAGCTTGAAAGCTTGAAAACTAAAAATATCCAGAAAGTTCGAATAGGCATTCGAATCGGGTGATGATGGCGAAAAAATCAAGGCAAACGAGGAAAACGTTTAACAAATTTTGAGGGCCATTTTCGAAAGATTAGCGTGAATTTAAGAGTCGTTAGGTCAAAGAACTGATCTATAACTTTCCATTCCTCTCAAAAAGTGGCGATTTCAAAGAGTGCCGGGGAAACGAGGGCACAAAGGATGCCCGAGGTGACCCGCCAGCCACAGTCTCAAATTTTTCCAGATTCGAACCACAAATGGGATGAAAGCCTGAAAATGAGTAACAAAAAATTGCTCAAAGACATTCTGGATTTTAGCCGGGATTCCCCCAAAGTTTGCACACGTTCGATGTATACTGTAGTGGGTGTCTTCTGGGATTTCAGACGTATATTAAAAAGGGTCACTTTTTGAACTTTTATAAGCTCTCCGAAATGTTTAGCACAAATTTATCGATTAGTGATAGTTCCCAAGAGTTCTTAACAGTTAAATATCAGACTAAGCATGTACTCTGAGCCTACAAATGGTCTTGAACCAAACCTATGCATTGAATTTAAATTGACTTTGATTTAATAATTAAAAAATTCTGTCCCAAAGAATTGAACAATTAGTAAAGTATACTTGTACTTGTAACTATGCATCGTTGTCACAATTTTCTTATCTCATTTCTAATTTGATCATTTTCAGAACCGCGTCGCCGCTTGCTGTGCGGCAAGCGCCAACTTGAATGGTGGTTTCTGTGTGAATGGCTCTGCCTTCTGTAACTGAAAAACGAGGATTTCCCTTGAGTGTTATTCTTGATTTATGTGTTTTCTTCTAAAAACTGAATTGAAAGATGTTTTTCGCCAAAAGGATAAATGAAATCAGATGTTGGGTGTCGAGTTAGAGCTCTTGTGCTCTTGTAACATTGTACTCTTGACGGATTGAGAAGTAATTGAGTTGTTTTTCCTTTCTTTTTCACTCACTGAGAACACCCTCTTTCTCAGGTATACCATGTTTATATAACTAAATAAAGGTATCAAAGTGTTAAGACTGAGACTGAGACTGAGTTAAGACTGAGAAAGTGCGAAAAAAACCTCAGTCCAAGCGTGTAAATCCATGTGGAAATATTTGAGTTCACCAGCAATGCCACATTCAATAAGTAGTAGCCAAAGAATGGATACTCTACAATGGAGACCAAACTTGAGACAAAATAGTTCATAAAGTAGTATGTTGAGCTACCGATCATCTGAAAAGCGTTTTGTGGCTCGTTTTTTATCTTCAGAAGACCTAATTGAATGAGTCAAGACTGATAGATCAAATAAACTGTTTTAGCAAAGAGAAGGCACTTTAGGCACAGAAGGCACTTAACATTTTGCTAAACAATTTTCAAGTAACCAATTTTTTATTAAATGTCATAAACCTGAACCAACCTGAATCATTAAACGTCTCTCCGCCCTTGAAGCTGCTTTGGAGGTACTCAGCTAAATCTCACATTTTTTGAGAATCATTACTTCAACCTACTTTTCGAAGCTTTAAAAAAGTGAAAAAATCCATTGTGACCATGAAATATATCAGGGTTGGCATCACATACAAATGCACGATTCCACTATCTCCAAATGCTGATACCCAGAAAAGAGAAATCCCTATCGAATAACAAATGATAAACTGAAGGAGAGGTTTTTTTGTTGTATACTTGAAGAACATTCCATCGAAAGAAACGGCCATGAAACGACTAAAAACATTTTTTCCAAAGTAATGCACGTTTTTGAAACTTGAATGAGACGAACATCTGACAAAATGCGATCACGATGGATAAACTCCGTCCATTGTAGAGAAAAAAGCCGGCGATGCCATCAATTGAACATCTGCAATAGAAATTTCTCAAGGAGCAACCAATTCCCGTTAAAAGTAAATGATTCACTTGGCACTATTAAATGGCTACTATTATATGGCTTTATTATATAATCCAGATACTCAAAGCAATGGCTTTAGCCAGGTACCGGGTAAAAGCTAGGTATTTCATACGAACTAAATGCAAATAATTTAATCTACACTGGTATCAGTCAATCAACTGAGGCTTTATGGTATCTTAAGCCGATTTTCAGGTATATTCTATGTAAAAATAGTAAGACTGATGAGTAAGGGTTTTAAGTATCACATACAAGTCATATTTTTGCTCATTGATCGAAAATACTGTGCACAAGTAGTTCGCCATTTGAATTATCGTATAGAAGAGTCGTTGCACATTTTCGCACGTTAGGATTAGCCTGAAAAGTTCTTTTTTGTAACTATGCAAATTCGTGATGTAGTTAGCCTTTAGATTTGAACTTAAAACTTCAGTAAAGTTACAGTAACTCACCGCACACTCAGCAATAAGTCACCATTTTTGGCCGAGTAATAAATCGCGAAAAGGTTTGTGAAAGTGGCAACGAAAAGTACCTGCATGCAAATGAGTTTATTCTTTTTTGCAACAAAACTCACCAAGGTGCTTCCTGATCCCAAAAAAGCTTCAAATCGCAGAAGTTTATCCCCGCTGATCTCAAGGAGTCCTGGCTGAGTTGGGTCTGACTGGAAGCTGACGCCACGTTGATACATGAGAGCAAACCTGATTATTAAGAACAAATAGCCGAGAGCTGGAATTGGACTTCGCTTAGTCAATGGACAAATCCAACCTGTTACGATCGACCCAACGACAAGCACCTCCAAGACTTCGCGAATTCCCGACCAAAACATTTTCGGTACGTTCCTCGTTGCCTAAAATCGAGTTTAAATGTGAACCAAATCCAAAATGAATCTTGAAAGAAACTCGCAAATTTATCGATTCAAAAATAAAAAGATCTTTTATTATGGAAGATTTGGAAATTCTTGGTTTTGCTAAATGACTGATGACATCAAATGTTACCTGTTCACGAGTCCAAAATAAATTATCAATAAGCAGACCATTCTGCAACTTTTGAGTGAGCTTTTTCAAAGTAATTTATCCAAATTAAGTTCCCAATCATTTCTTTTCCAATCGAGTCCGAATGGAGCCGGCTTCTGCAACTGAACAAGTCACCCAAAAAAACCTTCCTTGGGCCTCAATTTTTGGTGTTCTGCGATAAAATTTTTATTGTATTTCTTAAAGCACACCTCAATTTACTTTTTTGGTTCAAATTCGATCAATTTTTTTTTTGAAGCACTTCCCTGTTTTTGTGTACAAAATCAACTAGGGACGGGGGACGATTGGGTGCACTTTTTGTTAACAGAGATGGCAAAAATAAATTCAAATCATTAATAGAAGCTAGAATGCAAAAAGATTTCCATAAATAACACAAAAATCAACCAATTTTGAAAAGTTTCCAAACTTTTGGGGGACCCGGTATAGTGTTGCGCTTATTGTATCTTTTTGGCTTTATACGACAATACATTAAGCTAAGCTGAAAACTAACAATTAGTCATAAAATCTACGTGTAATTTTACATAGAATAGAAGATCCGGGACATTTTTTAGAATTTTGACAATCCCAGCCGAACAGTACAAAAATGCGTCCCTAGATTTTAAATATCTAAACCAAAAAAAGTTGACTCTTTTGGTTCATCGAGAAAAATTCAGCATCTTTTCGCGCCACAAAAACCACAAAAACCACCACTTTCTAGTCACCCTGTAATATGAGTCGAATTTATGAAGCTAGAGGTGCAAGATTTCAATTTTTTTGCGATCAGAAGGCTTACGATTTTATGCTTTAAGACAAACTCTTACATCTGGACTATACAAATAGCTGACTGTTTCATTCGCAGTCCAGGCGGACACCTGATTGGACAAGACAAAAAGAAAGATGAGAATTCAGTGGGACTGGGACAATTTGAAAGCAAAAACTAGTATTGAATACCCGAAGATTTCCGTGACACTTTGCATTTCAACTCTCTTTTTAAAGGATCGCGGCGCAAGAAATTCAAAGTTATTCAATAAAAAGCAATAATTGTCGCCGATTTATCTGCTGGGAATTCATCAGGCTGTGTTTTAGTTTGTTTTTTTATCTTCATGTTTCTTAGGCAGAAATTGGTCACTTTTGGCACCGTACTTTCATTGGGTGTTTACACTAAGTTCCATCCGAGATAAATCTACTCTCCCGGGGGAATTCTTACTACAGAAAAAAAAATGCTGAAACGTTAATGAGGAGTTGCAATGAGCCAAATCGAAAACGTCAATAAAATCGAACTAACTATCAAACTACTGTAAAACAGATCTTCTATGTACAATTCGAGTTTCACATCTAATCTTCAATTTTCTGACCATAAGTTGTTACCTTTTCTTCGGATACGTTATCTCGAAGAGATTTTCAATAAAATGATCGCTCGGGTCTCGGGGACTTTTTAGCCATTCTAGAAATCTAGAGAATCTAGAAAAGCGAGAAACAGAGTATGAATGAAAGTTCAATTCTAATAACTATAACCTCCACATATTTCTGCACGGAATTCCTTTTGCATAAGTATTCAAGTTTTGCCTTTGCCTTTGCCGTTTTCGATTTCTCTCATCGCAACTCCACATGAACGTTTTAACACTTTGAATTCTTTCAAAAGAATTCCCCGAGGAAACACATTTGTTTTGGACAGAACTTACTATAGTTTCGTTTGATTAGTTTTGGTTTTTCTTGTAATAACATATTTTGCAACAGGATGAGTAGATTTCAAACTCGAATACTTATGCAATTCAAGATGAAAATACAAAGAATTCATAAACTAGTTACAGTAAGCATTTTGCGATTAGATTCGAAAAATTTTCACTTTGAATTGCATGAAATTTGCATCGAAT